ATTTATATTCTATTTAAAAATTTTATTATAAAATATGTTTTAAAATAAATTATCATCTAAAATTTTATAATAGATTTTAAAAATATTTTTATATCATAAATCAATTAAACTTGATTTTTATACAATTTAACATATTTTTTTATGTTTTTATTAGTGTTAATTATTGTAAAGTAAGTTTTTTTCATATTTAGAACATGTATTTTTTTTTTTAAAAAAAAAATAGGTTTAAACCTACTAAATTATAATATAACCTAGTTTGACATAATTTATTTTCATTCTTAATCGTAATTGTAGATATAAAAGCATGTAAAAAATAATTATGATATATATTTATATTTTTAAAAATTATATGTAAAATTTTAATACTACAAATATATAAATAAGTATTACCTTTAACATCCCAAATTTTATACAATAGTTAATTATTATTTTATATTTATGAAAATTATTTTCTTATAGTTATTAATTAATTAAAGGAATTTTTTAGAAGATTTTAGATTTTTTAATAATTTAAATATTTATGAAAATTTTATTTTTTAATATGAAATTCTATTTTTTTAGGCCCAGAACGGGTCGTTCCAAAAATCGGAACGGTCTGTTCCTAAAAGCGGAACGGGCGTTCCCACAAGTGGAACGGGCCGTTCCAAATTTTCAAAAAGGCTTGTGTTTGTTGGCCCGGAACGGGTCGTTTCAAAAATGGAACGGGCCGTTCCAAATTAGTAAAATGACCTATTTGGGTTTTCCCAGAACGGGCCGTTCCCAAAGGGAAACGGGCCGTTCCGGAATTCTAAAATTGCCTAAAAAGTTTTGTTGGAAACGGGTCATTCCAATAATGTTTAATGTGTATGAAAATGGAACCCCGAACGGGCCGTTCTAATTTTAGAACGGGCCGTTCTGCTTTTTGAGAACGAGCGGTTCTGATTTTAGAACGGGCCGTTCCAGTTGCACATTTTGCGTATATTCGAAGGATCCGAAACGGGCTGTTCCGAATTCAGTACGGCCCGTTCCGGGTGTCCCTAAAGGCATGGGTTGTGAAAAAAATATAACATGTGGAGGTGAAAATCTTAGAGAGAGAGAGAGAGAGGAGAGAGAGAGAGAAAGAAAGAAAGAGAGGGAAAGAAAGAAAGAATCCAGAGGAGGAAGTTCTGCTTAAGTTTTAGCTATTGCTTATTTAGGTAAGGGGGAGGAGAACCTTATCTCTTTAAAATTTTATCTACTACTATTTTTATTTATTTATGTTATTTTTTATGTATATTTATTTAGTGGGGTGTCTCTAACGTCATTTATTTGCTTAAGTTATGATTATTTTTATCCATATTAATTATTAAGGTGTTTATATTTTATATTGTTTAATTATTTTATAATGATTGTCATTTTTATTTATATCATTGGTATTCTTACTATATTCTTTTTACGTAAATATATTTATTGTAAATATATTTATAATCAAATATAATATAGTTGTGATATCTATTGGACTCGTGTTGTTGTTATTTCTTCACGTATTTATGAAGATAAATATTATTCTATGGCCATAGAAGATAAAATTTGAATTATTTGTAGCTGGAGGTTTGACCTTGGGGATTTAAATGAGTAAGGAATGAAGGTGAAATATCCTATTGTTGGTTAAGGTGAAATATCTTTTTGTTGGTTGGTGTTATGATGATGCTCATTTATCCTGACTAGTCACTACAAGTATAATTTAAATTTTATTGTATCATGAAATTTTAATATATGATCTGTATATATATATATATATATATATATATATATGTTTAATATTGATTATAAATAATTCTGTATATTCTTTTGAATTATTGTATTTATTGGATATTGTTCTTACTCCTCTCTTTTCTTTGTATTTAAAATTAAATATATTATAAAATAGATGGATCTACTTGGGATTCCAGATCATTTTCCGGTTGTTATCGTTGTTATTTTCTTTGGAAGGAAATGGAATGTGGAGGCTATTTGATGAATCTATTATAATTTTATTTGTTATTGTAAATTTATTCTCATTATCAATGTAAATATTTTGTAATAGAAGTGAAAGAAAGGAATATTGTGTAAAATAATACATTATTGTAAATATATTATAACGATATGTCATGTAATAAATTTACAAAATATTCTTTTTTTTATCTTTATCTTCAAAAAAAATATTGTTAATGATATAATTGCGAAAATTTTATATAAGAAAAGATATAATTATTATTATATAAATCGGGCGTTTAATTACCCCTTCTATTTAAAATTTCTAGATCCTCACTGATTTCAACGACATTGAAAAGTAACATCTAAGGCTAAAAACTCTTATTAATACCACGAAACCTATGTCGGTCAAGGTCCTCATAATGCTTACAAGGTTTAGACGTTTCGCGCACAAAATGTGAAGTTTTTTTTTTCCTTTTCATTTCATAATGGTGTAAGCAATGTGACAAACCTTGGCCAGACTTTACTTATCTCTCGGTTGAATCATATTAGTTTAAAGCGAAGCCTTATAACACTTATGCGAAACTAAAAAACAGTGTAACACCTTGATTTTCATTCCTTATATTAATAATATTTTAGAAATTATTTCAATATGTTAATGTATTTATTTTGGGATTTTTGCTACTATTTAAGTATTCATATGAACACTATTTTATTATAAAGGATGATTTGTAATTATTATTTTGATTAGTGATATATAGGTAACTTTTATGAAATGTATTACATTAATAATTATGCTTACGTTATTTGGTTAAAAGGAAGAGGTATGTTTTAATTATATTAATTATTTTATGGAAGGGAAGGAAGGGCGTGTTAGTCTTTTGTTTATTATTATTATTATTATTATTATTATTATTATATTTTATTATTTTAAGAAGGGAGTTATCAGAAATTACCTTATGCTTCATCCTCCTGACTTCTCCTTATTCATTTTCTTTCTATGTTCTCTAAAGACCAAGGGAAACTAAAGGAGACGAACTAGATTCTGCTCGTGCCTCATCTTCTAATCATTAAGGTAAGGGGGAGTGAGAAACCTCGCTCGGGTGCGTTGAAATAATTGTTGGGTAGCAGATAATAATATTGAAGCATCTCATGAAATAAAGCCAATCATAACTAATCATTAAACTTGGAGCATAGATTTAAGAGTTAATCATCTATACACTGTCAGTGTAAAGTTTTTTTACACTGACAACCAATAATATCTTTTAAAATTATTTATTTTATTATTATTTCATTAAATAAGCAACTAACATGACACTATTAAAAGATATGATTGGTTACTAGTGTAAAAAAACTTTACACTAACAGTGTACATAGGTGATTAACTCTAGATTTAAAAGTCTTTGATAATGACATGTTTATTAATAAGACTATGAGGAAGATCTGAGTCAACAGGTGCATTTGCATTGACCAGTTTTTGGATCACAGAATAGAGGAGAGCATGGTAAGGTACAAGCAAAAGCACAATCTGCAGATGTTCGACATCCATCCAAGGTTGCTTTGCTCTCCACACACCTGCAAATGCCATTCTCACAAATACCCTTTCCTTCACACCACTACCAAATATGTGGGATAGAGTGACCTAATATTTTATCCTACCAAATCCAAATCCAAAATGTTGACCATGTCATTTTTTAAATCTTAAATCAAAACCTAAAGGCTCAAAATATGTGGGATAAGAGTGACCTAATATTTTATCGTATAATATATCAATACTCACATTATCTACAATTAAATTATAAATATTAATAAGAGAGATATGAAAATAAATTAAGGTATATTTTATGGTATATAATTTAAAATGAAAATATTATTTTAAATAATATTATATTACACAAAATTATTTATTGAATAAAATAATTTTATTATTAATACATAATTTTCAACTATAAAGTTTTTAAAAATAATATAATACATTAAATCGAGTTAGAATGATTTAAAAAAGATAACTTGAATTTATCTTAAAAGAAAATATGAGATCTAATTTTAATATTCGAATCTTTCCAATCCTTTTCAAGTCAGGCTAAATCAGTGGAATGAGTTAGGTCTTGTACACTCTTGAGCGGAATAATTTTTCTTTATATGCAACTAAAACTTAATATTAATCTAGTATTTAATATTAACGAAAGAAAAAATAATTTAAAAAATACCGAGACAAAAATAACATCACCATAATAATAGTCATAATTTATTAGAGAAATTCTATTGCACCCTTCTAAATTTGAGGTTTTTGAAACTGCCAATTTTCTAACCAATAGGGATGACAAATAAATTCATACTCGTAGGTAATACTTGAACCCGTCCCGACTTTGACGAGAAATATCCGGTTTGACCGGGTACGGGTACGGGTACGAGTAAAATCCGATAAATTAAACCGGGTATGGGTATATACATACCTGTCCCATACCCGTACCCGATTTAATTATATTAAAAAAATTAATATTTTATTATGTGTAATTATTTATTATAATGTGAAATATTTATAATTGTGTAATTATTAAGAAATCTCTTGATTAAAATATGAGATAAAGAAATAATCTAATTATAATTATAATATAATAGAAAAATAATTTAAAAATATTATATATTTTTTTGTAAAAAAAAAAATAATTTTTTACGGGTACGGGTATACCCGATATCCGACGGGAATGAGAATGAAAATCACATACCCGACAGGTACGGGTATAGGTACGGGGATGAGTTTGTGTCGCGGGGACGAGACGAGTATTATAAAACCCGTACACGATCCGTCCCGTTGCCATCCCTACTAACCAATAATATTTAAATTTTTTATCATGTCATCATTTTCCACTTGCATAAAGTCTGTGGAGATGAATCAACTTGCCCTACATAAGATCTAAACAAGAAAATGCGTGGCAAGAAAAACTCAATTTCATGTCGAACAATACAATATGTTTCATTCCTACATTGCAATAACATCTATTTTTTATTTTTCTGCCCAGTTCATTAATAGGTTTAAGAAATGCACCATCAACAAAATAGGACAGGCCTTCCACCTTTTTCTGGATTGAAGGCAGACTTCATTTGTGGTACTGCATTTGTGAAAATAACAAGTGTCTCTACCTTAAAATGCAGGGGGTGATACTTCCAGCATCTTAATATTCTCAACAAAAGCATCATTTGCACTACCAATTTTTCTTGCTTTTTTCTTATGTTCTAAATAAGGCTTCTGGAAACATTCTGCTTAAGCCTCTCTTTTTAATTGTTTATACACAATTTGTCCTGCACGACCAATAATTTTTTCACTGTCCATGTTTCATCGCATTAAAATTGCATTTTCACACTTTTATTGCATTACCAATATGGCACAAGAGGGTACTAGAACCATGTAAATGTGAAGTGAATAATTGAATAGTAGATTGCTAAAGAATGTATGGCCACCAAAACAATTAAAAAACCATTTCCGAAGGTATTTTTATTTTTATTATTAATTTTATTATTATTATTGTTATTGTCAGGACTCTTGACTCTTTCCACAAAGCAAGGTACGTTATTTTGTTGCTAAAAGTATACTTTATTTCAACTTAAAACTAAAATGGGACCCAAAATGTGAATGATATTATCCCACACGGTGAAAATAAATGATATTTCTTTTTCTCTTTTTGACACCATTGATTTGGATAATACTGTTAGATATTTGACGTACATAATGGAAAATGGCTTATACATGTATATTCAAAACAGACGAGAGAATTTGTCATTGGCTCATTTATTATACTGTTCACGAAACATTTCCCAGGTGAATCAAATAAAAATTGGTACGTTTTATTTCATTTCAATATGCACAGCATTTTTACATCATGGAGTAAGAAGCACACAAAAGGGTATATTACTGTCAGCTTATTATTCAATCTTCACAAACAAATATCAAACATCATCCCAACTTTGAACCAAAGACCAGCCAGTTGAACAGCTCATGAACTCAAAGTATAGGAAACAAAGAACAGAAAAAAGAATCGTATGAAAAAAATAATAAAATGAAATTAATACTCAACCACTCATGCAAACTTATTAGAGGGAGAAAACCAGCACTGAAGCCATGAATGCTCCAACAGAGGCAGCAAAGGAGACAAAGGCTGAAGCAGCAGCATTAGGATGAGGGGGAGGTTCACTGACAGGGCTTGGTGTTTGGTTTGTGTCTGGTGGGGGAGATTGACCCTCTTGGCCAGTAGGTGCTGGTGAAGGAGATGATGGTGATTGTGGTGAGGGTGGAGAAGCATTGGTTGTTTGGTTTGTGTTTTTGCTCCTGTCAGCTAGCACAATCACTGTCAACTTTTCATTTTTGAGACAGTTATCTTTGTTGCCACTTATGAAGAAGTGAGGCCCTGATTGGTTTAGTTTGATGACTGAGTGGCCATCAGAGTATTTTGCATAAGGTGAGCCTGTGTTGCAGCTGGCATAGTCTTCACTCTTTACATAGAGCACTGAGTCTTGGCCAGATTGGTAGTTGAACACTGCAATAAACATATGTAAAGGCTGAAACTCTTAGGGCGTATCTGATAGGGGAATTTTGGAGAGCAAATAAGCAGTGATTAAATAAAAAATTTGAAGTAATGTGACAAACTGACAATATTCATACTATGAATTGATCTTTTTTACTGCATTTCAAATTATGAAAACAAATTATATATATATAAAGAAAAGTTAAAAGAAAAAGTTAAAGGTTGCCCCAACAAAAATCCAATTCCAAATGGATCCGTCCAGGATGAAAACAAATGATTTTTGGACATCTAAAAACCTATTTGACATCTAAAAAGAGAATAATAAAAGAGAGAAAAATATAAGTATATGATAAGTGATATGATCTGATAAAAAGAGAAAAAAAAAAACACAAAGAAATGATGAGTGTTAGTGAGGTTTTAAAAAAGTGGGGTGTCTAAAAAATCATTATTCCTAGAATATGCACCCGAAAACTTTATGCAAATATTTCTATTAGGAGGAAGAGCTGAGGAAGATAAATTTGATGCCCCAGCAAAAAAAGAAGGCTTCATGTAGTTTTTATAACCATTATTTGATATTTATAACATATCAACAATGATGAATTGAAAAGTAAAAGTTATTTTGTCCAAGTAGAAATATGTCAACTTGGATTTTTTTTATTTTTTTTATTTTTTATAATCCAACTTGGATCTAAACGAAAAGGTTTCAAAGTAGCAATAAGGACTACATATTGAATCAGAACTCACCAAGGGAGTCTCCAATTTGAAAACGGCTCTTTTCTGCCCATTGATTGAAAGGGTTGAAACTGGGGTCATTTGGAACACTCCAACCCTTTTGTCCCCCAACAATGAAATCATAGGAAGCACCCTTGTGCACCATCAGCAGGAGACAGAGCCAGCCAAAGGCATGAACTGCTTTGTTAGACCTTAACATGAAGGTGGCCATGAGAGAGTGAAGATCACAAAGCAATTGAAAAGTAGAAAGGAGGTGTTGCAATTTGCAACCTTGAAATGTTGAAGCTAGAGGGATGACTCACATTGAACCATCATAAGGGTTTATGTAGGTGTGAGTTGCATGGAACTGTGGCAGTGAAGCTATTACAACTTTTTATTATTCTCCCTTCTGTTAGGGTTTACTTTGATTCTGGTGCAAAGCACAAGTTCACTTTTATTATCTGGAGTATGAGCTCTTTTGGAATCTTTCTCATAACTTGGTATGTGGGTTTGTGCTTTGCTTCGGTGTTATCAAGAATATTCATGTCTTGTGACATAGGGCTAAACAAGATAATAATTACAAAATATGATGTGACTAAAGTCTATACTGCATGTTCCATACCCCTTAGTTTTAATATGAAGCTTTTTTTGTGGCGGCAATGATAATTAACGATGTGTGTGTTCCATTTGATCCTTCGCCAATACGTGATAAATTAACACCGAAACATTAATTTTTCTATGACTTTTACACTTCAGCCTTCTCTCCCTTTATGATCCAATAATCCTCTTTGGTAAGTTTTATCAACTTTTTTCAGCAATGAATTTCACCATATATATTGAGATGTATAGCAGCCAAATTAAAGTTTTCAATTCCGTCACTAACGTAAAAGCTTTGTATAGTTTGGATACTTAAAAAGTTTATAGAAAGATATTTAGCTTTTGTGGAAGCGTATAGAAATAGTATTAATAGAAAAAATAATTAATATATATATATATATATATATATATAAACACTGCGTATGTAATTATATACTGTGTATGTATGTGTTTGTATATAGAAAAGTAAATCAGAGTGATTGACAAAATGAAAAATAGCTAAAATATATACAGAGGGTATTGAGAATCGTGCAAGTGGTCACAAAAGGACAATTATCTTCAATGTTGATCTAACTTATTGCCTTGAAGAACATTTTGTATTTTTTTAAATAATTTAATTAAAAGGTTCTTTAAAATAAATAAAAAATAAAATAAATTTAACATGTATTTTGTTTTCGCTGTAATTGCAGCATATCTTCGTGTTTGATTAGAACAAAATTTATACATCACTGTTTCAGTTTAGCTCTACTTGGTTGGTCACTTTTTATATATGTAACCAATCCGTTTTATCCCTAAAATTAGATTAATTACATAGACTTATTCATGGTTATATTACTATCACTCTCATTCTTCAGACTCGTAAAACAATATCATTTACTTAAATAAGTAAACGAAAGAGGCTTTAATTTCTCATAAGAAACATGTACTTGGACGTGACTAAATTATAAGTCATCATATACATACAAAAGTACACAAATAAAAATGAAAAACAAAAGCGAGGGGAGATAAAGAGAGATACAAAGGAAGAGAGAGAAAGAGAGAAATAGAAAAATTAATTTGTGTAAATGTACGCATTAAACGGCCAATGTTTGAGTTTGTGAGGTTGTGAATCATTTTTGACAGGGTATTATGACTTCCCTTCCTCAAACACAATCACCATTGCTAACCCCACAAAATCATAACTACTAAAAAAATAGAAAAAGCAAAAACCATATTTTAAAAAAAGCTTTTTTCATTTTTGTTGTATGTGGCTTTAGAGTTTAGTCCTACCTATCGAACCTTTGGTTGGGTCCCCTTTGAATTCATTACAAAAAATTTATTTCCTGGGTTTCCTTGATAATTTCAAAGGGGTCCAGCTCCTGGTTGTAGGCAAGGATATTTATTTCCTTAAAATTAACACAATTTTTTCTTAAGAACAATTTTGGTTTTGGGGATGTGGAGAGATCCTGGAGCTCCCGCTGATTCTTTCTATGAAACCCGCCCTGAGTGCACTGATGTTCCCAAGTCTCGATTTAGGATCAAGGTATGTTTATCTTCCATATAGATACATCATACATATTATAAATAAAAAATAAAAATAAAAATATGTGTGCACATTATCAAAGAAAAATGCTATAAATAATAGTGTAAATTCAATTTTATCAATGTGTTGATCAATTGTAAATATTGAGTACTTTGATTTTAGTTTTTGTTGATTTCTATAGTGAAACGTTTCAAGTCATCATGATATTGAGATTGAAAAGTTGATAAGCTGAATGAAGCTTTTCTTCAAATGGAGATAACTAACCTTGTGCTTTTTAGTTATTGAGATTGGATACTTGTATAAAAGTATATTTAAAATGGTTTGGCCTTAGTAGAATGGTGAATAGGTTGTGGTGATGGTGTTTTTCTAAAGGGAAAATAAAGTTTGTACTTGTTGCTTTTAGGATAGTTTCATGGTTATTTTTGGTTTATTACAAGGTGTGTTCGGAACGTAGTGATAAAATCATTATTGGAAAATTTTATCTCTTGCAAAAGAAGGAAATGAGTATTGATAAAGTTACTCTTGAGTCTTGATGGTATGACAATAAGCAGTATATTATGTGTGTGTAGATAATTTACACTATATTACAACAATTTTATACCTTCGATTGAAAACTTTTAGATTTATTTTGATTTTTTAGTTTTGTTTAATTGATATGATATGCTTTTAGTTTAAACATCTTGTCATATGATTCAGGCTGGCAAAACATTAAGTGCAAGAAAATGGCATGCTGCATTTTCTCCAGAAGGGTATCTGGATATTGGCAAAACTCTAAGTCGAATCCACCGTGGGGTAATTCCATTTTCGCAGTTAAAATGTTGCTTTATTGTGTTTAAGTACATGAAATTTATTTATTTTTTCTATGATCATTTACATTGTAATCAGGTGTATTAGCAACCTTCATTATTTGAGTAAAACTAATGCACAGAAGTTAAAACTTAATACCTAATGCTTTTGGGTTTTTGGTTTTCTTTAGAACATGAGGTTTTATTACTATATATTATGATACCAGAAATTTCAATGCATATATATAGATATTCTAACAAGACTCTTTAATCAAGAGGTTTAAAAAGTAGATTGTTATAAACAAGTTAGTATATGCAATAAGGAATCTCAAGAATAATTTTTCTCACTTCATTACTTTTTTCAAATTAGGGAATCCATCCATCAATTAGAGGAGAAGTTTGGGAATTTCTACTTGGTTGCTATGATCCCAAGAGTACATTTGAAGAAAGAGATGAGATAAGACAACGTCGAAGGTAAACATTCTCAATTTTATGATCTATTTGGTTAACATTTTACATCACAAAACATTTAGGATTTGTTTTGATAAGTTTCTCCATAACCAATTTTAGGATAGAAAAATATAAAAGAAAATTAAAATAAGTTTTTTGATAAATTAAAACTAACTTATACATGACTTAAAAATAAGATTTTAGAGAAATTAATTGAATAGAATTTCTATAAGTTAATTTATGCACAAACTATTTTTTATTTATGAAGAAGTTCTTCCATTTTTTTTTCTCTTTCCTAGAAGTGTTTCGAGTGAAGTTTACTCAAACATATCTTTAAACTATCACTTAAATATCCAATGCAGATTTTCCTTAAAAAAAATGGAATGCCACCTACATTATACAACGACAATACAATGCTATTTTTACTACAAAAAAATTGTTATATAATGATACACATTTTATAATGACACAATATTTATTATTAAAAATTATTTTTACTTACATTATAGATATGATATATATTGGTATATTGTTAATAAGTGTAGGTATAAGTTATAGTGAGATCCAATATATGGTATTAAATCTCATTCAAAATCAACACTAAAATTATGTATAATTATATGTCAAATAGATTTATATATATATATATATATTTTATATCTATAGTGATATCTCGTATATGTCACTGTATATAACATTTCTTATAGTGTTTATAATTTAAGATTGTTGTGCTTTTAATTCAAAATTTATTAGATGATATTAACTGTATAACTCTTATGACAATGTTGTTAGGGAGCAATATGCTACATGGAAGGAAGAATGTCGTCAATTGTTTCCTCTCATAGGAAGTGGTAGATTTATCACAGCACCTGTAGTTACTGAAGATGGTATACCAGTTCAAGATCCATTAGTTTTGTTAGAAAATAATCCAGAGAATGGAGTGATTACTTTACCTCAAGAGAGTACTGCTGTAAATAACGTAGAAAAAATAACTGACAAGGCAGTAATTCAGTGGCTGTTAACGCTACATCAAATAGGTTTGTGATTATTTTTGTTTCTCAATACACTATAATATATTTCTCACACTAAATGTTGTTAATTTATTAATCTTTAAAATTATAATCTACATGTTTTGGGGAGAACATTTTCTTGCAATTTTTTTCCTCATGAATTATGTCAACTTGCACCATGTAATAAAAATTTAGGGACTTTTGAAATGGTTAATTTGAGGATATGAAAGTGACTTGTGATCATTCTATAAGTTTTTTCTCAATTTATTTCAATAAGAATCATGGAAATATTATCAAATAAGTTCTTTTATTTTATTTAAATGAGTCTCACATTCAAATTTATAAATGAGCTCTTATTTAATTACATTTTTAAAAAATAGGTGCTTCATTAACTTGTTTACCCCAATAATCTTTCAGAATTCTAAATATCCATGCCCCTAATTTCATTTTGTATGTAAGAACAAACATGCACACACTTGTAGGTAACCTTCTATTGTTTATTGGTTTTGCTTTGTTTTTATGAGATATTATAAATACTCAATTAGATAGTTAGGCAACCCTAGCTATCTTTGCATGTATATAACACATTGTTCATGTTTCATAGTTAACCTTCAATTGTTATTTTCATGTTGCATAGTTTTTTCTGTTATTTCTAATAAAGTGTTCCTGTCTCATGCTATTGTTCAAAATATGTATGAAATATAATGGTGTAGGAATTCAAATAGATTTTAAGTTAGTTTGACTTGATTAAGTTGTACTTTGACTTTGATTTAATAAATGACTAATAATGATTTAACATTATTGTTAATTTTTAAAAGTTTTCTTAAGACGAGAGGTGAAATCATATTACCATGTAAATTGCAAAATAAATAATCATAATTCTTGTACAAATACATATTTCAGGTCTTGATGTTGTTCGCACCGATAGAACATTGGTTTTTTATGAAAAGAAAGAGAATTTGTCAAAACTATGGGATATTCTCTCTGTTTATTCTCGAATAGATTCGGATGTTGGCTATGGTCAAGGTGAGTCAAAAGGAACGATAATATTCATAATTAAATCATTTTTCCATTAGATAATGAATAGTAATGACACCTTATAATGTTTGAGTACAAGGAGTTTTGATATCACATAAATGTATGGTAGCAATGTCATCATTTTTAAAAATTATATTTTCAAATATTTATATTTTAATATTTTTTATTATTAAAATAATTTTGTATGCATTAAACTAATTTCATGCAATATTTTAATTTTATAGATATATTTTTATTAGATGAGATAATTAATTTTAAATAAAAAAAAATTAAAAGGGGGAAAATCAGGCATTGGGTTTAGAAAAAGAATAAAATAAAATAAAGACTTAACTCTTTTAGATTATGGTTTTACTTTTGATTTACTTGTAATGTCATAGAAACAAAGATTTATCTGGTTTGAGAGATTTTTTTCTTTCTAATTTACATAAAAAAAAAATAACAAAAAATATTAACTTATTTTTACTTTATTTCTTATTTTCAAGGATTCGTATAAGAAATACTTTTGTTTAAAAATAAGAAACAAAAGGAAAATTAAAGTAGCATTTTTTTTCTTTTTGTGATTGCTAATGAGAAAAGAAAAACAAAACTTAATATTTTCTCAAACCAAAGAAGTCTTAAATGTAACTATTATTTGTAACTAACGTAATTTTTTCCTTGTGATTATAATGTTTGTAGGAATGAGTGACTTATGCTCTCCTATGATAATACTCCTCAATGACGAAGCTGATGCGTTTTGGTGCTTTGAACGTTTAATGCGTAGATTGGTAAACTCTAATCTCATATGTTACAAAACTAAATTGTTGTGTCATTTCCCTTTACTTATTATTAAACAAACATAATTAAGTCGTACTTAAAAATTCACATTCTTGTATGAAATTACAATTTACCATATTGTTCGCAAATATACAACAATGAAAGTGTAGAAAAACAAAATGTGTCTAAAGAGTAATTTCTAGGATTTCATGTGATTTGTTAAGATACAATTCTTATTATAATCAATTTTATATATCTTTGTTCCTTACTATCTACATTGTTTAACTTTTAAGCGAGGAAATTTTAGATGCACCGGTAATTCTGTTGGTGTCGAAACACAACTAAGTAATTTGGCAACAATTACTCAAGTAATTGATCCAAAACTTCATCAACATATAGGTATTTTTCTTATGTCATTTTTATTTATGTTCAAGCAATTCAGAGTTTTATTAACAATCATGTAGTTTTTCATAAGTGATTATTTTTAAAAAATGATGAGGGGAAAGTACAACAAGATCATTCTTAGTCCTTGTTATTTGGTTATAGTAATGTTATAGTTAATGATTTGTCTCTCTAATAATGCATATTTTGTTATGATCATTGCATTTTCATTCTATAAGTGTTGAATACTTTCCGGTATTTGTTACCACTATTCTCAATTAATGTTTTAAAAAAATAAAAAGTAACAAAGTTATTTTTTTTTTTTGTTGGAGCACAGAACAAATTGGTGGAGGTGACTATCTATTTGCTTTTCGGATGATAATGGTTCTATTTCGACGAGAATTCTCCTTTTGCGATTCATTATACCTTTGGGAGGTATGCTTTATTTATTTATTTTTATTTATTTGAACACATTTCTTGAAAAAAAAATATCGAGTTACTTATAATTAATAAAAGTTATTCCCTCAATATGAATGTAATGTCTAATTTTAATATGATATATCATGCGATCTTTTCATGTTTATATTATTTTTCATTAAAAATTAGTGGTAGTAATCAATATTTTTAATTAGGTATCCCTTCATGTGATGCTATTGTAACTTTTCTTTTAGTGGTAACTAATGAGGCATAATAGTTGGATAACAAATATTCGTGATACAACTACAATTGAAATTTAAAGTCCTAGTTGAAAAAAATTATTATGTCAATCTATTAATATTATATGCTCATTGGAATAGGTTGGTGTTTGTCTAAGTGTGCAAATGTATAACACCGTTTCTTCATGAACACTATATATTTAAAAGTAAAAGTATATATCTGATATTTTTTACCCCACATATGTCTATAAATTTAAAATTCATAATAAAGGATATAAAAATCCTTAAATCCATGTATAAATAATCGATGTGAAATGTATTAACTTTTTTTATTTATTTTTTCTAAAATACTTTGTGTATATGGGTTAGAGTATCTATTGTACTCTTGTTAATTCTATTTTTCTTATAAAAAAAATAATAATAATCAATGTGAAATTTTTACATGCGATAAAGTCTCACATAACAAACTCCATACTAAAGTAAAAATATAAAACTAAACATAAATAATATCATAAAAATTAAGAAAGAACATCTCTAGACTAAGTTAGGATATCACATATCCTATCAAAATACTCTCAAGACAAGGATTAAGTCTCTTCACCAACTTCATCATAATCTTGGTGAACCTTACATGCATCAACATTCATAACAACAACAACATGAAACAAGGGAAGTGAGAAAAGTTCTCACTCTAACTCATGCCATGAAATAAGAGATGAATAGTCAAGCACACCCAATACATTCTTTATAGCAACAGTGTCAATATTAAACATATATTTAACACTATCAAAAACAATAACTCATTCACAATACATCATAGAATAAATATCCATATATAATTTAGTCACATGTAATTATGATATGCAATGGGCACGAGCTCTTGATTTGCATGTATGTGATACCAATCACAAGATATGTGTAGTGCATATTTAACAATTAATGATTTATCGATTTGCATACATATGATGCATGTCGTATAAACTCTCTATCATTACATAATCATTACACATATTTAACGTTTTACCATGCATACGATTTTTCATATATATAATTGTCATGCTTACAACTGTTACTCACAACGATTTATCATACATATTATTTTCCTTGCACAATTCATGTATCTCATTCAATCAATATATCAATAACATTCTTGTTTATCTCACACTCATCAAACATCATAATCATTTAACCAACTCATTTCATTTAAGTAAAGAATGCATTTCAATTAATAAAACACTTTAAAATACTTATACAATACATCTATAAGACATGAATTTCATACCATTATCCATTTTTATTAATTACTCACATAATAACCATTTAAATGCATACTCTTAGGGTTTCCACAATAATCCACGGGCAACTTAATTCATACCCAAAGGGCTCGATGTATGAAATTTAGCATAGATAATCACAATTCATAATAATTCAAGGGCATAAGAATCATGAGGAAGACAACAAACAACAAAAAAACAATTGGGGTTTATCCCTTTATACAACACATATATCATAGAGTTGGAAGCTAACCTCACTAACCAACAATTATCCTATGTCCTATAGCGAGAATTTTCACTCCTCCCTTACCTTGTTTGGTGTTGAGTGTAGCAAATGGAGTTGTGGGGTGATCTCGTGTAGCTTCTCATCTCCTTGATTCTTCAGAGTGTAATAAGAAAGTGCCTGAAAAAGGAAAGAACTAATGCTTCTCTCTTTTTAATAACAAACTTAACTCATTCACGTATATTAACTCTTGACTCTAGTTACATATTCCTTCCCTTCATTTAATAATAATAATAATAATAATAATAATAATAATATAAAACAATATATTATATAACAATTCACAAATAATTTAATTAAAATAAATATAAAAAAAATATATAATTTTAATGTCAAAATGATCTATAAAACCAATCTCTTTAATTTTATAATAAAAAATATATAATTAATTTAATTGCAAAAACGTTAGGTGTTACAATATAGGTGTTACTTTTTCCTGCTAAATAATTTAAAATTTATATATGTAAATTTAAATATTTATATAAAAAAATTATGGTTATACAATTTATTGATACAATTTTATTTTTTTTCTTCGAGTTTGTCTCATGCATATATTTTTGGGATGTGTATATGGCCCTTACTTTATGTTTTAATATTTATACATATAAATTCAAATTTTTATATAAAAAAGTTTTACAATTTATCAACACAATTATGCATATCTTAATTTTTCTTTTTATGTCTCTTACATGATTTTTCTTATGTGTTTAGTTCTTCCTTTATATCTAGTAAAAATAATTTGAGGTGATTGTGATACTAATCACTTAAAATTTTAAACAGATGATGTGGGCTCTAGAATATGATCCTGACTTGTATTGGTTGTATGAGGAAGATGATGAAAAATCTGAGGAAAATAAAGGAAGGTTAAAGTCATTACGCCACTATGGGAAGTATGAGAGGGAAAATATGAAAAATGGAGGAAAGAATAGTGAAGAACCTCCTCTTCCTATATCTGTTTTCCTTGTTGCTAGTGTGCTTAAAGAAAAAAGTGCAATATTACTCCAACAAGCACGAGGCTTGGATGATGTTGTCAAGGTTGGATTTATTCATATGACTTATTATGTTTAAGTTGACACTAAATTATAAAATATCAACTACATTGATATAAAATGAGAAATAAAAAAGATAAAGAGAAATTATTTTCTTTAGATGATAATCTACATACTGTTAGGGTCAATGCAATTATTTATATAGGATTTATGTAAATAATTGTAATATTTTATAACAAATATAGTTTCCTTTTTCATATTTAGTAACTTCTCTTTTTGATCATTTAATTTATTTATCCTCAGATATTGAATGATGTAAATGGAAATCTCGATGCCAAGAAAGCTTGTGTCGCTGCACTCAAACTTCACAAGAAATATTTGAAAAAGGTATTGCAACATGTCTTTGTCTTTCTGTTATATATCTTCAGGTTCCCATATAATAAAAAGGAAAAAAAAAACCACCTTAAAAAAATGATTGATCATACATATATAATGGTTGATCCCTTTAGATATAATAGAATACTATAATTGGCATATTAATAGCATATATTGGGTTTACAAAAATATATACACAAGAATAACTATAATTTTAAGATTAATGTGAGAATAATAGATCTTGACTACGAAATTATATGATGATCAAAAATTAGTTACTTGTCAAATGATCATTTAAAAATAAGCATGTGTTTAATTTTAATTTTAACCAATAAAACTATATTTGAACATCAATATTCATTATTCTCATTTCTTACTATAACAAAGTATTATTACCTAATCAACTTCTTTAAGTTAGTTACATAAAGTAATTAATCAACATACAAAACATGACTTTTGTGTTGTCATATTGTTCTACTTAAAGTATGATGTAAATTATATATTCTAACATTTTCTTTCTTAAATTATTATTTGTACCTTTCTTAACTCCTTCATTACATGTAAATGAAACATAATAACTAGGTTTGAAAAAAAAACAAGTTCTTTGGTCAAATAACATCATACATTAATCTCTTTTGGTTAGTTATTGATGAAAATATTTATTTAATTATGTCTTTTATTATAAATAAAATAAATATTGTTAATTCTTTTATAGATATAAGTTGTACGTAGATGATTATTCATATAAATAAGCACTACAGAAAATTTCATTTATTAATGATGAGAAAATATTAGTTCATCATATTATTATTGTATGTATTTGTTAAATAAAAGTAAAATTATGTTAATAGAAGGATGAATTATACCATCATATGAAAAGAAAAGCGTATATATATATATATATATATATATATATATATATATATATATATATATGAAAAAGACACATAACATAAAATGTGTTTCAAAAAAAATTG